ACAGTAAAAGATGCTAAAGTGTTGATTCGATGTGTAAGGGAGCGTATCCAAAGATGGTTTATATCATCTTGTCCAAGTAGCAATTTGGGTGGGTGGTTGGGCACCAAGTAAATCTAACAGGGATGCACGCTGGTTGCAGTACATCCATATCTTGTTTTCTACCAGCCTATCCGGTCCACTGAACTGCTGTTTTTGCTGATGGGGCCTGATTTCCGAAGTTATCCGGCCAATGTTTTGTCGATGTTTTTACTTCTGACTCATATTTGGAAGTTATCGCTTCCCATAGCTTCCATGAGAAATCCCTGTTACTGTCAAGCTCATCCCAAATGATGTTGCTTAAACCCCCCTTAGCAATCACCATGGCTGTACTTGATGGGCACAGCATCCATATTTCTGTCAGTGCAATCATACAATCCCCAATAAAGCACATCCTTGTTACTTGCAGTTCCATGTCACATGAGTCACATGTTCCTGTAGTTTCTTATGCATTTCAAACAAATCCAAGTTAAATCAACATATCCTTTAAATACAACTGTTTATCAACTCCCCATGTTTGGTTGCCAAAATGGCAACCAAGCATGGCAATGGTCAATCCACTATCTATAGTTGCTTTTCCCAGCTATAAACCTGCATTTAGTTCGAGGATTTTCCATTGCCACGTTTGATTGCCGAAGGGTATATCCCCATTATATTCCATTTGAATATGTTTATTCACATGAGATTTCCATGTTTGTTGTTTGAATCACCATTTTTGTTGGGTAAATCCACCTTTTTCCCAAATTATTCTGTTCAATCATCATTGAAGTGTTGGTTATCCCATACTAACCATTAAAGTGTTGATTATCCCATAATAACCATTAGATAACCATTGCATAACCATAAAGCAAGGATCAACACATGGTTATTCTCCCATATTAACACATTAATGGTTCTAGGATCATTAATCATATTAAACCATGTTAAATCATCATTTCAGTGTCAGTGTTGTTTATCCCTTATTTATCCCTTATTATAATCATCAGTAAAGAACCATTAAATAGCCATCATATCTCATTCAAACCATTTCATCCCCTGAGGCCCGAGAAACGGAGGCTCAGCAGGTCCTCGAGCGGACACCACCCAATCGTGTCACCACGCCCTTGCGGGTCCGGACCCGGGTGCCCGGTGCATGGTCTAATGACTTGGATGATTTGGGACAAAACCCCGATCTTAGGAAACCTCTACATATATAATTACATATATATATATATATTATACACATACATATGTTACATCGACAGTAATTATATATATATACATACATATGTTCATATGTATATGTGTCAAATATAACATACTATATTGATACCCATGGGATAAAATGGGGTTTAACCATTGATAGTTAATATATTCATATATATCCGATGGATCCTAAGTGGATCCTAAGTAGTTGAGGATGTATTTGGATCCATGCGGATGGGGAAAGAAAGTCAGTTCAGACCTGGGCATTCCATCACTATTGGTTCTTGGAATGTAACTGCCAGTGAATCAACGGTTGGAGGTCACAATCCTTGGTGGATCATTTTTTGTGTAGTTTTTTTTTCTATGTCTTGAAATGTTGTTTTCACCCTGTCTTTGTGTAATTCTCAGATTCCTTTGTGGACTTTGTGTTCAGGAGGATGTGTTGGCGGTTTTTCAGTTGAGGTCAGGTATGTAAGCACTATTTGCCTGATCACATGCTGTTCAGAACACTCTTTACCACCCAAACATAGGTATGGGATGCTATGGGCATCTATTGGTTAAGTATGGTTAAGTCAGTGGATACACCACTTGCACAATCGAATAGCACAACTAGCTTGCCATTGCTGTATACATGGTATACCCCAATGTGAAAACCATTCACAATTCACAATTCGCTGCTAGGTCTACACTCGGAAGTCCCAACGCCGCAGTGTCTCAGAAGACAGGCCAGCCCCTGATGGGCATGATAATGTAATATAATGTATGTTTTTTTTAATTTATGACATGATAATGTAATGTTTTTCATTTTTTTTTAAATGGGTATTCCATTTTATTCAACTTTCCATGTTTTTTTTCAACCACTGGCATGATAATTTTGCACGCCACCACAAACTGTAGCTGCCGCCCACGCTTGGATAGATGGACCATGCTTTTCTTATCCACCTGTAGGCCTCACAGCTTTTGCCAAGATGGTATCCGTTAAGATTTTTGCCCAGTGGGTGGTTGAGATTGGTGAGATATCCGTTCAAACTATGAACATCCCCAGTCGTATTGATCAAGTCCCACTTTTCCTGGTAGACTCCCTTTTTATCACGGTGAACATACCTATATGATGATAACTTTAATAGTATCTACCTTCATGGTGAACATTCCCATTCTCATATTCACATTAGATATGAAAAACACTCAAATAAAGTTCCTGAGTTAGAGTAGCCCCCAAACCACTTTTTGTTGGATCTGGATTTTCACTACAAATTGTATCTACTTGGCGGTGACCTCGGGATGAAATCATCTCGAACGGGATTGGAGCCCTAGCTTCAGCTTCAAATTGATCATCAATTCTGCGTAAATTATATGGTAAATTGGAATACCCTCTAATGCTCCATGGTGCTGGAATATTTACCAACATTTACCCCATATATCACCCAAATGTAGGTAAATATACTATACATGGAGCATTTGGAATATGTCACTAACCTGAAATGAAGTCATTTGGGGATGATTCCCCTCAACCATCATTCCATTTTGCGGTCGCAGTGAGGTTGATATAATTTACCCAAATATCCCATGAAATCCGCATGAAATCCCCATTTATCTTAGCAAAGCAATATAGGATCCACCATCCCTATAAAATCACAATTAGATTCCATTAAATCTCATTATACAATGTAATTAGATATATAAATGGGCTAACGCCCAGGTGCCGCCGCCCCCCTTTTTGAGGCTTAGCCGAAGTACTAAGTAGGTTATATCTCTGGTTATCAGTGGGGCAAGTGGCTTCAGTCCAGGTACAACTGGAGCTTCATATCCCGTCCATGTAAATCCATGTAGATAAGTTATGTGTTAGCCAGATTTTGCCAACATTTACTGGGTAATTGTTTGTCAACATAAGACATACGTACCAACAATATTCATGGCATGGGAATGTATGGGATCCAACAAACCGCCCTACATCCCCCATAGAAATGAACTATGATCCAATATAAATGAGTTATGTTCCATATGGAGGATGGGTCGAGATTGTCGCCCACCATATATAACTATGTAACTATATATATATACACATACACACATGGTTTGTTTAATGCTAAACAAACATGACATGTGTTTATCCATAGATACCCATTAATAATAGCAACCTTACACAGAACACACACACACATATATATATATATATAGCATTGGGGAACGAGTCCTCCTTTTTGAACCGGTTCCTGGTTGTTCATTTGGTTACCAAGCCTTACTATGACTAGAACCAGAGTTTCAAACATTTACTGTGACTATATAGAACTTTCGTTTTTAACATTCACTAAGCACACCTACTGTCCATAGTGGCTTACTTGCCATAGCAAATCACCATGTCTTAAGCGGGGTAAACAAAAATCGTTATCTACAAATGTTCGTCAAATTTCGTCGATCTCTTCAGCCCGCAATCCGGCGATGGCAATGCAGCTTTTGGTTCGTGGCAAAATGGCCAGGCGCGGGGAAAGCAGCGGCAAAGCGCTAAAGGCCCACGGAAGGGTTTCGTGTCCTGGTGGACCGTGCTTTGCAGCGGTTTTGAAACCCTGTAAATGGACTATGGCGACATGGCCCGGCGCTGGGAAAGCAATGGCAAAGCACTAAAGGCCCGCGGAAAGATTTCGTGTCCTGGTGGACCGTGCTTCGCAGCGGTTTTGAAACCCTCTAAATGGACTATGGCGACATGGCCCGGCGCTGGGAAAGCAATGGCAAAGCACTAAAGGCCCACGCTCTTGGACTATGGCGGCATGGCCAGGCGCGGGGACAGCAATGGCAAAGCGCTAAAGGCCCACGGAAGGGTTTCGTTTCCTGGTGGACCGTGCTTCGCAGTGGCTTTGAAACCCTCTAGATGGACTATGGCGACATGGCCCGGTGCTGGGAAAGCAGTGGCAAAGCGCTAAAGGCCCACGGAAGGGTTTCGTTTCCTGGTGGACCGTGCTTCGCAGCAGTTTTGAAACCCTCTAAATGGACTATGGCGACATGGCCAGGCGCTGGGAAAGCAGTGGCAAAGCGCTAAAGGCCCATGGAAAGATTTCGTGTCCTGTGGTGGACCGTGCTTCGCCGCGGTTTTGAAACCCTCTAAATGGATCTAAATGGACTATGGCGACATGGCCCGGCGCTGGGAAAGCAGTGGCAAGCGCTAAAGGCCCACGGAAAGATTTCGTGTCCTGGTGGACCGTGCTTCGCAGCAGTTTTGAAACCCTCTAAATGGACTATGGCGACATGGCCCGGCGCTGGGAAAGCAATGGCAAAGCGCTAAAGGCCCACGGAAAGATTTCGTGTCCTGGTGGACCGTGCTCCGCAGCGGTTTGAAACCCTCTAAATGGACTGTGGCGACATGGCCCGGCGCTGGGAAAGCAGTGGCAAAGCGCTAAAAAGGCCCACGGAAGGGTTTCGCGTCGTGGTTGACCGTGCTTCGCAGCCGTTTTGAAACCCTCTAAATGGACTGGCCAGGCTCTGGGAAAGCAGTGGCAAAGCGCTAAAAAGGCCCACGGAAGGGTTTCGTGTCCTGGTGGACCGTGCTTCGCAGCAGTTTTGACACTCTCTAAATGGACTATGGCGACATGGCCAGGCGCGGGGACAGCAGTGGCAAAGCGCTAAAGGCCCACGGAAGGGTTTCGTTTCCTGGTGGACCGTGCTTCGCAGTGGCTTTGAAACTAAACCCTCTAGATGGACTATGGCGACCCTCCTGCTTTCGAACAAACATTCTGATGAGAAAGGGCCTTCCGAACATGTGATTTTAGAAATTCAACAACGCTCCGATGCAAGAGTGTTCTGGAAACATTATTACCACGCTGAAGAAGGACAAGTGGAAGCTGCTTTAGAATATGGCGACGCACCAAGTTTGTTTACAAAAGGCTCTTCCAACTGAAGCAGCAGTGCCTAAGAATTGGTGCGCAAGGAGTGCGCAAGGCACGCTGTTCTGAAAGGAGGTGTGGTCATGAACGAAGGCTTGCTCGAAGCTGAGTCGGCTGTTTTTTCCATTGGATTTTGCAAGCCTGCTGTCAAGAAAAAGATGAAAAAATACACTTCTCTCCAGAGATGTGTGAGAAGAAAAGCAACGTGCACAAATTTTTACAGGATCACTGCAACAGAGGCACAAAACTCATGGGAAACTTCTGCATTGACATCGGCACAAATGGTGCTGTGTCTGGAATCAGAGAAGAACACTTTTTAAAAAAAGGGACGAACTGGCAAAACTGACAGAGAATTCTTGGACATGTTGTTGTCTAGTCACCGAGATGAGAAGCAGTGCGCAAGGAGTGCTTAGTTTTAAAATGATGGTTCAACTTATTGTATCTTAGAGCAGGTTGTGTGAGGAATGATGGCTTATACCTCATTCTTGTTGTGGGGCTTTCATGAATTGTGTGTTGTCCAAAGACAGCACCATCATTTTCGTGGAAAACATGCTGGCATGTTGGGGTAACAATGCAGTAGTCGACTAGGTGGGTGGGTGGGTACGACGAGCCAATGTCGTGCCATTTTGGCTCAAGTGCCCATTTTGCTTTGCCCCGACTACCAGTGGGCAGCCGGTGCCGACGGTGATATCCGAAGGTGAGGCTTTACTGCTTGGCCTTTGCTCCTTGCAGCTCTGGTGGTTGGGCTTAGCCTAGGGTGGATCCTTTCTTGGTGCTGTCGCAAGGTCTGGCCCGACCGAGAAGAGGGCAGATTCTCCCGAAGGGGGGCTTGGGCCAGAATTGTGTCCAAGGCGCTGAGGTTCATCCGAAAGCGCCGACGGATATCATTGGCCTGGGCCAACTATCGGAACCACAGGCTCCGCCAACTCCCGGCAGGGGGAGCGGAAGACCGACTGCCACGTCAAAGGTCGGATTCCACGGAGGAAGTAAGGCCGTTGAGGGAAGGCCCAGCTATTCAAAATGGAACCCACCGCCGACGAGCTCAATCAGATAGACACGCTTCAGGCCGCCTATGACTGGGCAGGAGTCCCAGAAGATGTGAGGGAATCACTGAAGGAAGCCCTAGGTGAACCCTCCAAAATCAGGGACATCATCTTCGTGGCAAGAGCGGTGTGGGACACCATCGTTGGGAGGATCAAAGGTTCCAAACCCCCAGATGCAGATGGGAACAGGGACCCACGTGATCTGACCCCGGTGGATGTGTTCAGATTGGAAATATTCAGACGGGTGTGTTTCCGGAGGGTTGGTGCCCAACCGGACACGCCGGGCTCCTTTGGGCCAGCCGTTCCGGCAGTGACGGCAGCCACACCAGCATCCATCACTGGGCAGCCTTCTGGGCGCAAATTGAAGATGAGCGCGGTGGTGGATCAAACGCTGGACGCAGAAGTGATAGCCCTGGGCACAGATGCTATCAACAAAATGTACGAAGCATATCGTGCTAAGTACGGAGATGTGCCGAGCCCTGAGACAGAGCCAACGGGAGACCAGCGGGCAGCAGTCCACCAGTTGGTAGCGTCAGGGGCCACACCATACATCGATTTCGCGGTGTACGGCCCCCACGGCCTGCGGCTCCTTCGGAAACTCACCTTCGAACCAATCTATAGCCCTCAACTCCATGGGCGAGTGGCAACGGGGCAGAGATCTTCAGATGTGTCCGGACGACCTTTCTCCTCCTGGAGACGCTCACAGAGGATGGACGCCTATGCGGAACACATCCGACAGCTGCCAGCTCGCTTCGGGAGGATATGCTGGGACCTGGTGTACACAGCTGATGTGCACATGCGATCCGAGCAATTCGAGAGGATTCGCTGGAAGCTGCACACACACACACACACACACCCAGAACATGGGTACACCGATGCAAACCCGTGGAACGCAGTTCTGGCCCAGGCCACCAGGGAGGACGCATTCTGGTCTCGCGAGGTGATCACACCAGCGACCCTCCGGTTGGCCCAGGCGAAGTCCATTCCAGCAGCCTTGCAGGAAGCGGATAAGCCAAGGTTCCCTCAGGAGTCGGAAGCAGAGCCAGGCACTTCAAGCGGAGGAAGGTCAAGGAACCAGACGACAAATCGAAGCACGACGGGAAGGTGTACACGCACAACCGCAAAGGGTTCGAGCTCTGCCAAAACTGGAACCAAGGTCGCTGCGGAAAGTCGAACATCGCACCATGTCTGTGCAATCTCTGCCTGGGCCCCCACCAAGGGTCCAGCTGCAACAAGGCCAAGTGAGGCCTGTCGAGGGGTGGACCGGCGGCGCCGGCCGATCCATCCCGACGACCACCCACAACAGGCGCAAGTGAAGGAGGTCGACAGAGGGCGAGAGGCAAGTCACGCAGCCGATCCCCGTTGAAACGGAATCCAAAGTTTCAGCGACCTCCTGAACCAGCGGTGCCGTCAGCCAAGGGGTCCGCAGGGCAAGGGAGCCAGGGACTGGTAGCCAAGTCAGCTCCTCCGAAGCCGGGCGAGGAAGGGCAACGGGCGACCGGTTCCGCAGCTCCAGCAGCGGCCCTTAGCTACGCGGGGAAGAAGTATGGATGCTGGAACGTAGAAAAGCTAGGCAGCAAACCGCGATGTCTCCACCTGTTCTGGGCCCACAACGAGAGGGGGATCTTGCGGCGCAGCTGGCAAAGCTGGGATGGGCTGTTTGCTCCTGCGACATCGAGCAGCCTACTCCGACAAATTTGTTGGATCAGGCCGTGAGATCAGCTATCCTGAAAGACATCGATGACCAGCGCTACGACGCCATCTTCCTGGGGACGCCATGTGAGACATATTCAGCCCTGCGGGAGATCAAGCCGGGCCCAAGGCCATTGAGGTCCTCACCGGAGATCATGGGAATCTCGACAGGCTTGACACCAGCAGAAAAGAAGCAGCTGGCCGAGGGCAACGAGCACACCGAATTTTCTGCCGAGGTGATGCAACGAGCCCACAAGATGTACACCCCTTTTACGATGGAGAACCCGGAGCCATTGCATCCAGTTTTGATTTTCAACACCCCAAGTTTCAAAGAGGTGGCAAAGCTCAAGAGCGTGAGGGCCGTCGACTTTGATCAATGCAGGGTGGGATGCGAGGCGAAGAAGCCTACGAGACTGCTGAGGTACCGAGTGGAGTACTCCGGCTTGGACAAGCTGAGGTGCAACCACGAGCCCAAAACCTTCACCGGCACGGATGGGAAGGAGTACAAAGCAGCTCATGAGAAGGTGGCGCAACGACGACGTACCAATGCGGATGGTAAGTCGGCCTCAAAAGCCTTGGGAAACTATGCACCTCAGTTCTGCGAGGCAATTGCCCGTGCAATCGCCAAGGTCAACATGGAGCGTGCAACCAAGGCGCAAGAGCTCCTGGGGGGAGATCTTCCCTGACAACGGTACCGAGGTCCGGGCGACGGACCGACGGTTAAAGAGTTGGAAGATGAAAAGGCCCTGGGAGGGATGCGGAAACCAGCAGAGTCAATAAAGAGGCTACCTCAGTCGCAAGTATTGGGGCAAGCCCTGCGCCAGCTATTGGAGAAAGCCATCGAACAATACCCCAGCCTGCTGCATACGGCAAAGGGTATTGTAGATGGGTCGGGCGAGATCGCGGAGATGGATGCCGAAGCAATCAAGGCTCTGCGCTCAGCAGCTGGCAAACTACTTGAGCCTCAGGAACCCATGCCAGCCAAGACAGCCAGCGCCAGCTCTCCGCTGGATGCTACGTTGTTGTGCGGCTGGGGGGACTTGGGGGATGACCCCGATGCAAAGCTACTTGCGTCTTGGGTCTTGCAAGGGGCACCCCTCGGATTCGACCAACCCACAGAGGCAGAACTGCGCCGACCATGGGACGAGTGGGAAAACTGGCCATCAGCAGAGGAAGAACACGAAGCACTCGTGAAGTTGGTGAGGGAGGCGGAAGAGAAGGGGTTTTGCAAAATCACCGCTGGCCCGGAGGTCGCACGGCAAATTCTCGGTGCTGATCCAGTTCTCAGCAAGCTGGGTGTCATCGTGAAACACCAAGGCGAGAACCAGGAGAAGAAGACGAGAATCATTTGGGATCTACGGGAAAGCGGTTTGAACAACAAGTGTAACCCTGCCGAGCGGGTGGTGCTCCCCAGGCTACTCGATGTCGTAACAGACTCCTTGAGGCTGTTGAAGACAGAGGGGGCAGTAACCTTCGCGGCGGTCGACATCAAAGACGCATTTCACAACGTACCAGCCAGCTCAGACCGCAAGTACACGGTGGCTTCCGCAGAACTGGAGGACAAGAAGCAGTTCTTCATAATCTATGGTTTCTTGGTGTTTGGGTCGAGGTCAAGCCCAACAATTTGGGGAAGGTTCGCAGCACTGCTTGGCCGCATCCTTGCAGCCACGGTGCCAGAGAACCGAACCCACATCTATGTGGACGACCCGATCCTCTGACCCAGAAACCGCAACGCACCTGCTCACGCTGTCACTGCTCTGCATCAAGCTGTTTGGATACCCGATAAAGCTATCGAAAGCAGCCGCGGGCACTTCAGTGAAATGGATACTCTGGTGCAAAGTAAAGTTAGTAACTGGGTTATAACCTAGGGTTATATCCCAGTTACTAAGTCATAACTTCTTAGCTAACTTTTTGTAACATGTTTTTTGCTATAAAAAAATGTCTTTAAAAGTGATCAAATTTTGATCTTTTTGATGATTTTGAGTGTTTGCTGTTTGAAGCGTTTTTAACTGCTCAAAAAATGCCAAATGGAGCGGTTTTCAAACCGCTAAAAGCTATTTTTGTTGGAACAGCCGTTTTCAGCATGTCAAACACTATAATTAATCATGTGTTAAAACCCAAACTGTGAATGAAGATGTGTTCATGTCCACTAGAGAGGATGTATTGCTTGAAGAAGTGTCTTTTCGACCCTCCGGAGCCCCAAATCATTGGAAAAACGCAGTGTTTCGCGACTTTCCTACCTTTTCACGCATCTGCATCTTCTTTCTTCTTACTCTTCTTTCTTCTAATCTTTCTCTCCTCTCTGCCTCTTCCCTGCTCTGCTTTTCATCTGTCCATATTGATTGTCGGAAGTTTGACTTCTAAACTTCCTTCGATTACGGGTCTTAGCATACCTTATGGGTCTTTACTGGTACCTTTTGGTCCAACCCACGAAAACTCACGATACTCACGATGTTTCTTTGTGCCTTACGAGTCTTAGCGTGCCTCATGGGTCTTTACTCGTACCTTTTGGGTCCTACATACGAACCCTCACGATTTCGAAATTCATAACATGCTGCAGTTTCTGCAAGTTCAGTTTGTGCGCCGGAAGCAGCATAATCAACCACATCATCACAGCACATGTTGGCGTTTGGATGGGTTCCAGTGCCCTTTTAGGTAGGCACTCCCTATCTAGGTGCCTAAGACCTTAGAAGGAGCATTATCGGAGCTCTTTCCCATGGTACTTTTAGGTGCCTAAGACCTTAAAAGTACACGTACTTTTTATGGCCACTTCTACGGATATGGCTAAGACCAGATGTACTTTGCAGTTGCTACACCATATTGTTGGAGATTGAGGCGTCCCAAACCCTCACAGTTCATCATATCATCAGCCAAAAGATGCCCTCGGGATCTCTGAGTCAGTGACGCAAATTTGTTTCATTGTTCCTCTAAGTCTTTTTTGCCACATTGGGTTTGGAGGCAAGTTGGGGAACGAAGGCATTGTGAGTAGCTTGCATGATCCACTGACATCGACGTGCTTTCTGTTGTACTTGCCATGCCTCTGCATCCTCTGCGCAACGCCTGCATGGAGGCTGGTAGTCCAAGGCTTGGATTGGGTTTCATTGTGCTGGGTGCCCGTGCGTTCAATTCACCCATAAGAACCCATAAGAATCCATTCCGTCATATGAATCAAAGAATGAGGCAATCTAACCCGGTGAATCGGATCTGCTTTTTGCAATGCGAGATGGCTCCAATTCAGTCACTCGTTCAAGGTTGATAGCGACAAGTTGGAAAGCCAACACGGTGACAGCCCAGAGGTGCATATTTGATGGGTTTGCCGCCCTTACGTGCGCTGTCCCTGCTTCTCAAACGCACTCCCCCTGCTGCACTTAGTCCATCGGTCACGCTGATGCGAGCGCCTGTTTTGAAAGCTGGACGGTATAGTGGCACTATTGAATGCTGGATGCAAACCTTCCAAGATGCCTCTGCGAATCTCTGCAAAAAGCAGCTATACTTGATTGCCTGGACACTAGATCATTGTTGTTCAGAAGTGTTAAGACTCATTCATCATTCCCAGCAGCGATGCAAAGTTTTTCCGACATCACCGAACTGGGTTCGAGTTGTTTGGCGCTACCTCGCATCCTTCTCCTTGTCTCCTTTATCGCCTCCGCTTCCTCCATCATCTCTATCATTTTTCATATTTTGTGAATCTTTCATCTATCAATCTCACCTCTATTAAGCTTAACTCTGCTAAACTGTTTATATCATACCAATCTCTGTCAAACTTGACTCTGCTTTTATAATTTTGATGGGCTTGGCAATTCCACCCGTGAAATTTCTCCCTACCAAGTCTCTCCATCAAATTTATCTTTTATTTTAGAAGAAAGATTACGACTACGAGTAGTATGCTTCCTCACGTGGTGCAGTGTAGTGCAATGTAGTATCACCAACAAGTGCTTCCATAGCATTCCGAAATCATAACCAATGCATGCAGGTCATGTTAAAATACATAGACCCAGGAATCCAGTTTGCCCGAACTGACATGGTAACGAATTAAACCCCTGCCAAACATCCAGCCGGTCAGGGTCAACTTAAAGGGTTCCCATGGCCATTATGTTTGGCTCAAGATCGCATTTGCCCAGGGAAAAGGCTGCTGACCGCAGCCGGGGTGCGTGGTTGAGCCACTAGATTCTCCGGAATCTTGTGGTTATCAGCCGTAGGGCTGTCGCAATAGCTTCGGAAAGCGTTGTCATCGACCAAGAGTACCCCGACGAGACTCTAGAGCCTGATCGCAAGTCGCAGATCCCGGACGTCCTGTGGAGATCAATCAGGGCGCCCAGGGGTGGGCGAAGAGGTCTTGCAACAAAGGTTCGACACATCAAAGAGGGGATCGCTCAGGGGTATTACCAAGGGAATTATCCATTTGTAACTCGGGACGGACTTGAATACGCAAAGCAGTGGAATTTTCAGGTCAGTACCTCGGTGTTGCAAGGGGCAACTGTTTGCGAAATCGAGACATCTTCATCAGAAGAGGAGGTTCATATCTTGGAAAGGCCTGCTGCAAAAGCTCGACCAACTCCGAAAGCATCAGAACCGGTTCCGATCTTGGAAAGGCCAGCCGCAAAGGCTCTCAAAAGGCATCATCATCATCATCATCATCATCATCATCATCATCAGTTGTGCCACAGGCAAAACCTCGACCATCTAGTGGAACACAACAGTTAGGAGCTCGTGCAAACCCAGCTGCGAAGGCAATCGAGAGAATCTTGAGGCCTAGACCTTATCTTCCGGACACGGTGGTTTGGTTCGATCGCGGCAACAAGGCTGAAGACATGAGTTCTGGCCAGGATCCTGTGGGAGTGAACTTCACAAGGAGGTTTCAAACTACAGTTCATATCGTGGCTACAAAACATACGTCAAGGCGGACTCTCCGGAATATCCAAAGTTCATTCTTTTTCTTGACTGGCACCAAGTGTTAGATCGATCAAAGACTTGGGGGACTTGGAACAACACATTTCCGCAGGACTCCATCACGTTCTTGCAACGTCTTCAAGGGTCGGCTGAGCAGACGTGGGGTCATCGAGAGTTTCTCATATAGAACATTCAAGCAAAAATCTGGACAACCCAATTCGAATTTGCAATCAATACAGACAGATTGCGGACGAAGGACTCATCACATGGATTTTCGTGACCAGGGAACGCTGTGGCGTCGTTGGGAAGGCAGCTACAATCAAGAGCTATACTCTCAACTATCAGATTCCTTGCGCTTTGGCCACATACATATCAGACGCAGGCCAAAGTGCCCAGCAGCTGAGACCGTGCAACACTATTTGTTGGATTGTGCGGCTCCTCTGGAACGATTGCTCTGGCGTTACAGGCACCGGTGAGTGAAAAGGGGGTGAGAAGCGTTTGCGGTCCATTTCAGGGGTCTAAGATTCTTGGTGGTAAGAGCGTGAAAGCAGTTTGCATTCCAATCCTAGGTCAAAGATTGTGGTGGTAAGAGCATTCAGGCAACCGGCATTCCATTCCTTGGGCTAAAGGCTCTTGGTGGTAAGAGTGCGGCAATTGTCGTTGTGTTCCCTGTCAAAATTTCTTGGTGGTAAGAGCATTCAGGCAACCGGCATTCCATTCCTTGGGTTGAAGGCTCTTGGTGGTAAGAGTGTAGCAATTGTCTTTGTGTTCCCTGCCGGGGTCAAAAGATTCTAGGTGGTAAGAGTGTTGACATGCTTGTGCTCCATTCCGGGATCAAAGGTCTCTGGTGGTAAGAGTATAGGTGTTCTCAAACCAACCCAAAATCACAATGCAGAGCTCACAAGAAGGAAGTTCAGAACGTTCTAGATCTCAAAGGGGTTTGGAAGTGGGTGCGGCACAATCAATTGCCAATCCCGTCACACAGTCCCAATCGATGACAACCTCAAGTTCAACATCGCAGTCAACTCCGGAGCCCAGGGGGAGTAGGGATCAAAGGATAGCCATTCCAGAAAATCGGATTGCTGTTCATGCCGTGGGGGAAGCTGGGGGAACCCTAGACATCCAGGGCGATCCTCATAAAAGCCTAGAAACTTTGTCTCAGTTTTTGGGATCTCCTCACTTTTCACCGTTGATTGCCTCAAATATGAATGCTGTTCAGCTAGGGGCACAAGATCATGTTCATTCGAATCCATTTCATGGCCAGTATGAACCCACCAGGTCGGGTCAGCAGGGAGCCGCATCCAGCCAGGGTCAATCCCAGGGTCCCACGTTCATCAAAAATGAATTGAATGTTTCAATGGATCCTTTTGTAGCTGCACCAGCCGCACATGCTGTGGAGGAAGCTAGGAGTAGTTTAAAATCCCAAGCCATCCAAGCTGTAGAAGAGTCCCAAAGATTCTTTCAGGTACAAGCAACTCAGATGGTTGAAGATATCCAGACTTCCACTTGGACAGGGGCGATGCAGTACTTAGAACATTTTCAGTCTCAGGCCCAAAGGGCAATTTCGGAATCCCAAGCTCAGTCCATTCAACTTCAGAAAGAGTTGGAGGATACAGGGCGGGTACAACCCAGATTGTCCAAAATGCTGCAAAAGAGATTGAGAGTGCTAAGTCCCAAGCTAGAGCCGAGGTCCAAAGGATAAAACTCGATAAAACTCGAAGCTCAAGCTGTGGTGTTGAATTTGGAAGGTAAAATCTCTGAACTGGTCCGTATCAATGGGGAGTTGTCCACGAAATCGGTTGAACAAATAAAAATGATTAATGCCTTG